ATTTTTTACAAGAAGCAATATAAGAGAAATTGTGTTAATCCCTAGAATGGCGATGAGTCCATCAAGTCATACATTTCCTGTAAATTTCCACGCTCATCCATACATCTGCAATGTCGTTCTCCAAACCCTGTCGCAGGCGAGCAACCTCTTCAGCAACAAAAATGTTGAGCTCAACCAAAGCCGTTGAGTTAAAATTGAAATTTTGAAATTATCACATAACTTTTATTATGAGCACTATCATATGTATAAAACATATTTTCACCAGTTAAGGCTACGTATGACAATCATTTTATTCTCTGGCACTGTTTCTGAAAAGAAATGATTCTTTTCTATTTCTGTGCCTTGGAAGAATTCTGGGAATCAGAATTATGTTTGTTAACCTATTTTATTTTTATTCCGAGAATCAAAATTACATTTGTTAACACATTTTTTTTTTATTCCGAGAATCAGAATTACGTTTGATAACACAATACAAATCTATTTCTTCACTTTTGTTTATAGATTTCATCAACTGTATAAAATAGCAAATGATAATAGATTTTAACCGAAATGCCAAATTTTATATTTAAAAATTATCGAAAAATTTATAATATTTTATTATGTAATTTTTTTTACGGAAAATGCTAATATATAGTTTTAACCATTATTTTTCAATCCTCTTCTCAATTCATATTTTTTTCTCATTCCCTTTACCATTTCATTTTTTAATATCATATTATTACCTTAATATTAATGATACAAATGAATAAATAAATACATTTACATAAGTCACATCACTCAACTAAATTTTCATGACATCATAATAACTTAAAGAAAAAAATAATTGATGTTGCATTGATAAAAAAAATGACAAGTCTCCAATGTATTTCGAATATGTCTCTTAATTCGTCAACATCATATTAGGGGCAAGTGATTGTCTATAGCTAATTGGTTTGCAATATTTTTCTTAATAATGTCTATTTCGATCACTTGATTTGAGGGGCCTTCGTCATCTATAGTTGTAGATGTATAGGTTGATTCTGCAATGTTGGGATTCGCATATTGTGCTAGACTTTTGTCTGCTATCTGATGATCCCTGATAAAGTTATATACTGCACAACATGCAATCACAATGAGAGCTTGCTTCCGAAATGAAAATGAAGGCATTTCACGCAAAAATGGGAACCTATTCTTCAAAGCTCCAAATGACTGTTCGATTACATTTCTCAAAGAAGAGTGCCTATGATTGAACAACTCCTTAGTTCATCTGGGTTGATTTCGTCTTCCTCTATAGTCATTCCAATGGTAGAGCTCTCCTTTGAATGGTGTCAAATAACCATCCCTAGTTGGGTATCCAGAATCAACGACATAAAATTTGCCTACATGCTGACAAGAATTTATCAATATATAAATTGCAATAATAAGGACAATCAAATGTGAAACTAAACAAAAATGTCATTCACATTGTTGTATAAACTCATCGTACCTAGTGGGGGATGAGGGAATTCCAACCTAGGAGTTTCAAGTGCAGTAGTAAAAATACGACAATCATTTGCTGATCCTTCCCATCCGACATACACAAAAGTGAACTTCGTGTCAAAGGAACACACACACATGACATTTTGGGTTGTAATTTGTTTTCTACCTCTAAATGGTATTTGCTTATTCTCAGGTAATGTAGCACTTACGTGAGTGCCATCTATTGCGCCAATACAATCCTAATATTTAAAATGAAATATTAAAATGGAAAATAATTAAATAAAATTATGAAAATAAAAAATACTTAAATCATTAAGAAAAACTTACCTTAAAGTATGGGAAATGTTTAGGATTGTCCCAAATTTCCTTTGGAACCATATCTAAAGGAGGTGGTTTGATTATCTCATGTGCTAATTGGAGCATCGCGTTCAACACTTTGCTGAAATACTTGCTAATTGTTTGCCCTGAGTGGTGAAATCTCTGACAAACATTCCTATTTGAACTCCCATGTCCAATCAAGTACAAAAAAAATTCCTAATTGTTCATCAACTCTAGTATATTTATTGTCTGCTAACCAAGCCTTTTGTGTCATCACATGCAAAGTTTGTTGAACACAAATTTTTCATTCTAAATGCCTCATATATTCTATCTGAGTGGCCATATCTAAGTTTCGCAACCCATTCAGCACCTGTCAGGCTACTATCTCTAATGGGTTCTTTGGTATATATTGAATTATTAATAATAATATTCAACAAGTTTGATATAACAAGATCTTCATCTATTGATTCGTCATCAGTATGAGGTTCAAAATATTGCCCACAAGTCAGACAAATAGGGGCATCAACCATGACAATACTGCATCAACAGATATTGTCATCATTAATTTCATGCTAACATATTTCAAAAAAAAAATCACATTAACAAAAAAAAAATATCACACATCATAGTCATACGAAAAATGAAAATTTAAAAAGTATTCTTATCATAATAGTCATACAAAAAATGAAAATTAAAAAAGTATCCACAACATAGTCATACGAAAAAAGAATTAAAATATGGTCTTCAACGCCATTAAACAAGACAAAATTAAAAAGTTGCAACACAATTTTATTCATTTAAAAATTTATAGTAGTGAAGCTCTCCTCTCAGGTGAAGCCTTTATAAAGGCTACTCTCCATGCTTGGCTCTCAACCACTCAATCAACTGCTTTGCGGTACACTTCATTCTCCAATCCTACCATGTCATTCAGTACATCCATTGCAGCCTCAACTGAGTATGGATTCTCATTCACTTTTGTAGTAGCAGAATTAGCATAATTATGGTGGCATTGGTTTTGTCTAATCTTAACCAGATCTTGAATGGCTTGACATGCCATTGCAATATCTGTATTCCCACTACCTCTTTAACGCTTTGCATTTGGGGTCGTATCTTGTTTATGTTGTGCAGGACTGGGCGTCTCAATAGGATCAGATGCAAATAAATCTTCATTAAGCATATGCTCATCTTCTTTATATTCTTGTCTATGTAGTACAAGACTAGGCGTCTCAACAAGACTGTCAATATTATCACCATCTCCATCTGAAATTTGGTGTACCTCGACATTTCCTATGGCATTATCTCCACTTGCATAAACATCCCCAAATATCTCAACTAACTCTTCCTAATAAGGAAAGCCATTTTTCTAAAATTTCTCCCATTGGGGATTGTCCTGTACAAAAGATTTACCTAATTATGTTTTAAAAAATCAACAAATTTATAAGAAATCATAGGGAAGACTATGTTAAAAGTTACCTTAATGTGAACATCCCATAAAGATGCATCCTCGGTTGTAGCAATTTTCAAAATAGTGTTCCAACCAAAACTAGATATGCTTGATAATTTCTTGAAACTTGAATATTCTTGTCTTAAATTAAGTTATCTTAAATTAAGTTTTCACAACTGCTATGAGGAAAGAATTATAGAACATATAAATTTAACTTCTATTATTTTAAATTTATATTCTTTCAATTAATTTTGCATATATCTTTTTTTAATATTTTTATATAATTTTCTCTTTCAATTATCCATATTTCACTTATGATTACACATATTTTTATTAATTATTTTTCTCTTTTAATTTATATTTTTAAGATTTTATCAAAATTTAAATACATGTGCAATGTTTACCACAAAAAAAAAATACATGTGCAATACACAAAAAGCTTACTAGTATAAAATTCAATGAGAGAGAAAGGCTTGCATGAACTGATAATAAATTTTATTTAATTGTCTTAAGATACGAGTTAATGATTATAAATAATATATTTATTACTCTTTAATAAATTATCGTAATCACTTAAAAAATAATTAAATGGTCTTGGGCTTTTTAAGATAATAAATGCTTATATATTATAGTAATGATTTTTATTTTTAATTCCTTACCATAAACATGTTAACAAAATCCAAAAATTTATTAGGTCATAATTGATTTTAATTGAAAACATAGAAAAGATATATATTAATCGGGTTCATGTTTTCTTATGTTGCATGAAAACATGAGAGAACAAAAGTAGAGACAAATTAAATGTGGGTCCCATATTTTATATTATAAAAGAAAAGAAAAATTAATTGGCACGGAAAACGAATTTGTGTAGGAAATGTTTTTGCTCTCCTATTGCATGAGAGTATGATTTCCCATATTAATCACTAGACATCAATTAAATAAACATTAATGAAGTCAGAGAAGTCAGAGTAGATTACACAAGATACTTACTAGTATAAAATTAAGGGTAATGTTTTTCTTATGTCATTGGAGAGAGCTTACCTCATGTCATAGACCCTTCAAAATTTGAGCCATCAATTTTTATTTTTTTTTCTTTTTGTTATAGTGTAGGACCCACTTGAAGATGCCTCTATAGGAGATAGTCTTGTCTCCAATGACATAAGAAAAAGCAATCCCTAAAATTAAATGAAAAAGAAAGGCTTGTATGAAATAGTCATAAATTTTTTGACGGTGTCTTAAAGGCACGAGTTAATGACTGAAAATAATATTTTTATTTTTAATTAAATTATATTATCACTTAGAATTGATATTTGAGTTTTTAACATAATAAATTTAATGATTTTTGTCTAATTCTTTACCATGGACATGTTAAGGAAATCAAAAAATTATTAGCTCCTAGTTGACTTTAACTTAAAAGATAGAAAAAAATATTAATTACAAGAGATTAATTAATTTGACTCTAGTCAAATTAGGAAAGTCAGCGTAGATTATAACTATTGCCGATACACTAGCGTTTATTATGAGTAATTAATGTTTTATAGATCAGATTCTTTTTACCATTAAAAAAACATATTTCAAAGCTTTAATGGTGTATTTTTTTCTCCACTTCTTTAACTACTAATCCCCATTACTTAATAGTGATACAAGCTACTATTTAAACCCCAGTACTTATGCTTCCTTCACAAATCACTTTAGCCAACTCTAGATCTACCCAAGAGTATTTACCATAAAAATAGAAGATAAAAAATACTCCTTTTTGCCAGTTTCACTCTTGTTAAAGATGCAACTGCTAATCACTTGTGTTTTTGTTCTTGGTTTTGTTTCACCATGTTTATCTTTGAGGTGGAATGCTGGAACCAAAAACATTTATAATGTGATGGAATATGGAGCTAATGGCGATGGCAAATCAGATGATTCACAAGTATATGTTTTCCCTTCTTTATTTCGTTATAATTTTTTTTTTGGATAATTATTTCGTTATAATTTTAATCTATAGTTTATGAGAACCTATTCTTTTATATAAGGGGAGGTTTTTTGGTTGTTATTTGAGTATGCTTATTTATTTTTAAGTCCCTTTTTAGTTATTTTTCTCTATATTTTTCTTTATTCCTTTCTTTATCCGTTCTTTTTTTTTCCTCTCAATTTTTCTTCTCTTATTTATTTGTTTATGTATTTTTTTATTTTTTTCTTTATTTCTTTATATATTTCTTTTACTTTATTATTGTTTTGTATGTGCTGTATTTTTCTCTCTTTTATATCTTTGTTTTCACTTTATTTATTTTTAATTTTTTAATTTTTTTTAACTTTTTAAAAATCCATTACTATTTATATTTTATTAAATTTATTTTTATCTCTTTTCTCAATATTTTCATATTTTTTTATTTAGATTAATTTATCACCAACCTCAACTAGTTTGGAATAAAAATATTGTTTATTTTGATGTTGATTTGAGTGTGCTTATTTTGATAGCAGGTTTGGATAGGTTTTAACCAATTGAATATCTCTTAATAAGATCGAGCTTTCTATTTTGAATTGATTGTAGGCATTTTTAAGAGCATGGAATAATGCATGTGGAGCAAAAGGGGCATCAACTCTACTTATACCACAGGAAAAATTATTCATGGTGACAAACATATTATTAAAGGGTACTTGCAAGGCCACAAGTATTCATATTCAGGTATAGCTAATAACCATTTTACAATGCAACTGCTATACTACTTGTTTTTTTGGGGGGATATATGTGCATATTTAAAGTAAAATACTCAGTTAGAAAAGTAATGGAAGATATATTATAGAAAAGAATAAAAAATGAAAAGATATGAAAGAGTTATCGTTTTGTCTTATTTAATATCATTTAATGATAAAGAAAAATGATTTCTTTTTTATTTGACTTTTTTTTTTTATACAATGGTGAGAATTGAACACATAACTTAATACAAACTACTTAAACCACTCACCACTAGACCAATCCTAGTGATTTTTTTTTATTTGACTTCATAATGAAACAAACATGTTAATAATATTAAAATAGTTAAAAGGTAAGATATTCAGCTTAACTCAATATAGTGTCTCAAATTCTGACTAACATTTTTGTTTAAAGAATTAAATCAAATCAAATAAACTATATTCCCATGAGAAACATCTATCCAAATTTCTCTAATATAAAGGATCTATATACTTATTTTCTTTTGTTCCTCCTTGCAGCTTTTAGGAAAAATAGTTGCACCTTCGAATGACGCATGGGGTGATGTGACATCACATTTGATTATGATTTCAAATGTAAACAGTCTCACAATGGATGGTGGAGGATCAATTGATGGCAATGGTTCTGAATGGTGGCAATGTATAAGTTGTTCACGACCTAGAGTATGACCACTCTCAACCAACTGTTAATTATGCCATAATTATAATATGTTTATATATTGACAATGAATATATTCTAAATTAAATATATTATTTAATATTTATTTATTAATTTCTTTCAAAAGTCTACTACCACAAGCTATGTAAACAATGATTATAGCTTTTAAGTTATTAATCTCTATATCTTGTGACTTGATTTTTCATGTGGATGATGCAGCTATTAGGTTTTCATGCTTGCAATGATCTTACAGTTAGTAACCTGACCATCACTGATAGCCCTTGTGGTCACATAACCATAAATAGTTGTGAGGGTGCAAGATTCTCTGATCTCAATATTCATGCTCCTCCTCATAGCCCCAATACTGATGGAATTGACATTTCGGCTTCCAAAAATATCTTGATAGAAGATTCTACTATAGGAACTGGTAAACCATGTTTTCATCTTATGTACATATCAAATTTCAATTGTAGTATTAAAATAAATTACTTAATGTGAAATTTCAATTTACTTTACAATTCTAAACAGGTGATGATTGCATTGCCATCAATAGTGGTTGTTCTTACATCTATGCTGCTAGGGTTGCTTGTGGACCAGGCCATGGAATAAGGTTTATATAAAAGTTAATTTTTTAGGTCATGTACAAATTAAATATAAGGCTTTTGGATATAAACAATTAAGTGACATCCTCAACTTAAAATTTCATGTGAAAATAAGAGTTAAGTATTTGATGTAAATATTATCACTTGACTCGCACATCACATCAATTTGTAAAATGCTTCTATTATTTAATATTTATGTTATTGTATCTTTGACAAATCTCATCAAAACATGTATGAATTAATCAGCATTGGAAGCCTTGGTAGAAATGAAGCTCATGAGACAGTTGAAGAGGTTTATGTAAGGAATTGTAGCTTCAATGAGACTCAAAATGGAGCAAGAATCAAGACATGTCAGGTGTGTACCATATGTGTGGAAAATAGTTTTTGCACACTTATTTAGCTAATTTTATATATATATATATATATATATATATATATCTATAAGAAAAAAGTGTGTATCATTTTTTAAACACTATTAGAAAAAACTTGTATAGTGACGGAATTGCTATGGAAATTCCGTTGCTAATTTCATCCTCGCTACTATTTTCCGTTGCAAATTTCTTCGCAAACGATTTTGCGAGGGAATTTGTAAAGATGTGTAAAGTTGTGTCATTTTAAGTGACAGAAAGAGATAAATCATGGGGGAAAGAGAGTGGACAAAAAAAAATAAAAGTGTGGGTCTCATCTCTTTGTGAAAGTGAAATGACACAAGTTATGTCATTTAAAAGGACAAATATTTTTCCATATATATATAGATAGGATCATTTGACACCTCATCTGAGAGCCATTAGATCAAAAAAGATCAATGGTGTCACATGCTTACAAATCAGAGTCGTTGATCTTTTTTTATCTAATGGCTCTCAGATAAAGTGTCAAATTTCAAATTTGACACTGGTGTCAAAGGATCCTACCTCATATATATATATATATATATATATATATATATATATATATATATATATATATATATATATATATATATATATATCCCTTTTCCAATTATCTTCACTTGTGGGTTTTCAATTTTCCAATTTTTTTTTAGGGTGGATCAGGTTATGCAAGGAAGATCACTTTTGAGCAAATAACACTTATAAGGGTTCACCATCCCATATTAATAGATCAACACTACCCTACACAACATCCAACGGTACACATTTTACTCTACATTCATATTATTTCTTGTGATTTCAACTTTTTTTTTCTTACTTATGATAATTATGTTTTGAATTTGGACAATTAGAATGATTCAGCAGTGAGAGTGAGTGAGGTGACATACCGTGGTTTCGAAGGAACTTCTGCTAACGACAATGCTATTAACTTAAATTGCAGCCCATTGGGTTGTTTCAATATTGTGTTGGATCAAATCGACATTGTCTCTTCAAAACCAGGGAAGAAGACATATGCTTCTTGCAAAAATGCACATGGAATAGTTGGATCTACTACTCCAAGTGTCCATTGCTTATCAGAATGAAATCCTATATATTACCCTCCTCTATGATTCTATAAACAACTTTGTCAATACGTATCATTATCGATCAAGTGTATTGCAATGAAATTTAAGTGTGTTTACAGATTGGATTAGATCCATTTTGAGAAAAACAAAGTTAATTGATTGAATATAATTTGTTGTCTTATAATATTATATAAGGGATTTAGTTTTTTTTTTTTAAATTTTTTCATGAAAATGTGTTTTTATCAAAATATATTGAATAAAAGTTCAAACAAACAATACTATGACACAAATAAGGCTTTTTGACCCATATAAGTTGAATTGTATTTTTTTGGCAAACTATTTACCAAACTAATATGAAAAGATGGGCATCCTGACAATGCGCATTCAAATCGCTCGCCACCTTTATATGCGACTTGTACAAAAATTAGTGCAATATTTTCAAGATCGAGATCTTAACTAAGATTGAGAGAGAGTAGCAAAATCATAAATCGTGAGATTGGCACGAATTATAGAATCTTACCTATGCATATAAAATAACATTAAAATCACATGAATGGTCGAATTCAAGCATGAAAACAACTTGACATTTAAGTGAAATAATTCCAAAGAAACAAAAGAGTTCAAACTCAAGCATCAATTTACATGAACCCCAAATCTATGTAGCACTGATACGACACGTGACACATACGACACGACACTTCGACACGTCAATCCTAAAAAATTATGGATTTCGACACGTTGGGACACGTTTTAATATTAAATAATATTTTTAATTTATATAGTGTATATTTCATTTAATATTTAGTAATTTAACAAAAAAATGAAACTAAATTAATAATACTCATCAACACGTTATAAAGATGGAAGCTTTAATAAAAAAAATAAGAACTGGGATGAGAGATATATATAATATCAGATAAAGAGATCAAATCATATTAGAGAGAGAGATCAGACAGAAGGAGATACAACAAGAGCGTGATAGGAATTGACAACAACGATGCTGAGATGATATCTTATCTACTTAAGGGGAAAAAAGACAAAAAAAAATAAAATTGATATGATCAGGTGGAAGATTTATTAATATATTTTAATTTTAAAAAAAAAATAATTTTTTTAAAAAAAAATTAAAAAAATTATGAAAATGCCATTTGACCGTGTCGGACACGGTCAAATTCGCGTGTCGGAATGGTCAACGTGTTGGAAAAAGTTGACCGCGTGTCCGACACCATGTCGGAGCGTGTCGAACACGACTCTCCCTGTTTTTACAAGTGTCCGTGCTTCCTTGCCCCAAATCATCAAATCACTTGAATGGTCAAACTCAAGTGTCAAAGCATCAAAAATTTCAATCCAAAGTCATTACCAAATTTAAATATGGGTTATGTTTATCTCATTTTACATGAGATAAATAATTTTCCTACACACACAAAAAGGAATGGGTCCCACTACTCTTTTTTCTCTCTCCTCTTACGTATGGGTCCCACTTGTAATTTTATTTCTATAACATGAGGTAATCACTCTCCTACAACATAAAAAAAATATTTCCCTTTAAATATTTCAGGTCACAATATAACAAAGGGAAAAATGTTTCTGCAGTTAATGCAGATAAGTTATCTGCATTTATTTCCAAAACGACGTCGTTTTAGTATTGAAATCTTAAAAAATTATAAATATAAAAACTATTATAACCTTAAAATAAATTAAAATCACAAAAATACCATGATTTCCGTCCAAAACGACGTCGTATTGGGCTTACTGCAGATAACTTATCTACAGTAACTGCAGAAAAAGCGAACCCTATAACAAAACCCCAAAACCAATACAAAAGAGTTTAAATCTAAATTATCAAATCAAATCATTTAAGTCATAATCATCATCTTCTATGGTATCTTCTCCAACTTCAGAAAGTTTTTCATCAAAATTCAGTAACCCTAAGTCCAAATCATCATTGAATTAGGTTGAACCAAGTCTTCTTCTTCTTCATTTTATGCCAGATCCAAATCATCGAATTCTTGATTGAGGGAAGCACTTTCATCATCTTCCATAATCCATTCTTCATTATATGAAACATCATCAATTTCAACATTATAGTTTGCAAGAGTTTTTCTAGAAATCCTCTTCTTGGCCAATCTTGAATTAACCATCACAATAATAATAACAATAATAATTATTCATAAATGATTTCTTCTTTTTGCGAGCACCTAAGCAAATAAAAAGAAATTAATGATTTATTTTCAAAATTAAGAAGCCATGGTTAAAATTAAAAAGATATGTTTTTAATATTTCACAGTTCAGTTATTTTTATCTTTTTTTTCACGGTCCCTTATTCTAAGCTACTGTATTAATGCAGGTAATGTTCATTCTAAGCTACTATATTAATGCAGGTAATATAATTGGCTTTCCCTCATTCTAAACATACTAATATAAAACGCTTAAATAGGAAAAATAAAAAGGATAATACATCTCTAAGTTACGTCTCAATATTCATGCTCCTCCTCATAGCCCCAATACTGATGGAATTGACATTTTTGCTTCCAAAAATATCTTGATAGAAGATTCCACTATAGGAACTGGTAAACCAATTTTTCACCTCATGTACATTCAATTGTAGTATTAAAACAAGGGGCAGGTTATATTTACAAACTTTTTTGTTTACAAACTCTTACAAACTACACTAAGTACGATCGGTCATACTTTAATCATGCAGTGTACGACCGGTCGTACTTAGAGTAATTTGCAAAAAAAAAAAAATTGTAAACGGATCATATCCTTAAAACAATTACTAAATGTGAAATTTCAATTTACTTTGCCTTTCTACACAGGTGATGATTGTATTGCCATCAATAGTGGTTGCTCATACATCAATGCTACTAGGGTTGCTTGTGGACCAGGCCATGGTATAAGGTTTATATAAAAGTTAAATTTTTAGGTCATGTTATCAAAAAAAAAAAAAAAAATTTTAGGTCATGTGCAATTTAGATATAAAGGTTTTGAATATAAACAATTAAGTGACATCCTCAACTTCATACTTCATCTGAAAATAAGAGTTAAATATTTGATGTAAATATTATCACATCACTTGCACATGAAACCAAATTGTAAAATGTTTCTATGATTTAATATTGGGAAAAACAAATATTATGTTGTAGGAAAGATTATTAGGTCATGTCATAGAGATAACTAATTGCGGGGTCCACCATTTTTAAAATAAAATAAAAATAAAAAAATTGATGGACCTACTTTTATGTTTGTGTAGGAAAAAATTTTGTATCATGTAAAAGGAGAAAAATATTACCCTTTAATATTTATGTTATTGTAATTTTGTTATTCGTATCTTTGACAATTCGCATCAAACATGTATATGTATTAAACAGTATTGGAAGCCTTGGTAGAAATGAAGCTAAGGAATTGCAGCTTTGATGGGACTCAAAATGGAGCAAGAATTAAGACATGCCAGGTTTGTACTTACTATATGTGTGGGAAATGAGTTTTGCACACTTCTTTTGCTAATTATATATATATATATATAGGGGAAGGTAATACTTACAATTTATTTTCGTTTACAACTCCTTACAACCATATCTAACTAACCGTTGATTTCCGTCAATCAACGATTATCATTTATTGTGAATTAATAATGAATTAATAATTTCATTTGCAAAAATCTTAACCGTTGATTGACGGAAATCAATGGTTAAGATATGGTTGTAAGAGGTTGTAAACAAAAATATGTTGTAATTATAACATTCCCCATATATATATATGGGCATGATTTTTTGGTACCAATGTCAAACTTTAAAATTTGACACCAAATCCTAACCGTTGATTTCCACCAATCAACTGTTATAATTTCCACAAATCAAACTTATTAATTAATTATTAATTTCCAATAAATCATAACCGTTGATTGGCGAAAATCAACGGTTAGGATTTGGTGTCAAATTTCAAAGTTTGGCACCGACATTGTTGTCAAAAATTAGTCTAAAAACGTAGAAATGTAAAAATGGTAGAAACACAGTGTAAAAACGCAAATAAAAATGGTCTTAGTAAAAAGGATAAAAATACCGCGTAGAAACGTAAAAATGGTAGAAACACAGTGTAAAAACGCAAATAAAAATGGTCTTAGTAAAAAGGATAAAAATACCGCGTAGTAACGTAAAAATGGTAAAAACACAAGTTTTTACGCTTTTACTTAAACTTAATTTTTTAAAAAAAAACCTTATTTTCCATTTTTTAAAAATTCAAATTTCATTTTTGTGTTTTTGGACTTGTGTCTTAGATAGTTATGTGACTTATGTCTTTTAAATATGAAGTTATTTATTAATTTTTGAGTAGTAATTTATGTGATTTTTTACATATATATATATATATATATATATATATATATATATCTATATATATATATATAAATATATATATACAATTTTGTATTTTGACCTTAAGTAGTAGAAATTTTACGTTTCATGTCATTTTTACTTTTTGACACCCTCTTCCATTTCTATGTAGAACCTTGATTTTGACAACATTGGACACCGGTGTCAAATGATCATGTCCCCATATATATAGCGACAGGAACATTTGACACCGATGTTAAACTTTGAAATTTGACACCAAATCCTAACCGTTGATTTCCGTCAAACTGACGGTTATAATTTATTGGGTCAAACTTATTAATTAATTAGTAATTCTCAATAAATTATAATTGTCGATTAACGAAAATCAACGGTTAAGATTTGGAGCCAAACTTCTAAATTTAACACCGGTATCAAAGGATCCTATCTGCCTTAGGAGATTAAGAACATAAATCCCATAGCCCAAACAAGATGTCCAAATAAGAACATCCATGCCCGGACTGATAAACTATTCATACCAAAAGGATCATATCCATTGATAAGTTGTGAAGAATTTAACAATAGATAATCTCTTAATCATCCCATCAAATAGGTAGAAGATTCATTAAACTGTGAAACATTACCCTGTCATAGTGTGATGTGTTTTCAAAGGATCTTATCATATATATA